TTAGATTAAAATAGATCTAAAGAAAATTGTAGCAGTTAAGAACTAGCCCTAACCTATAAACCTTAAGGAAGTATAATTCTTTTTAGGCTTTATTAATTACTATAGGTACTTCCTTAAGAATTTTAGCAGTTATACTACCCCCCTAATATAATTTACTAAAAAAGAAGAAGAATTCCAATAGAATACTACTGCAGAAAAAGTATTTAATACTATAAGAAACCTAATCCTTAGTAAACTTATTCTGGTAATATTTAACTTAGAATAAGAAATTAAACTTAAAACTAACTTATTAAACTTTATATAAGAAGCCCAAATTAAATAATAAGATAATAATAGCCTATTATACCCTATTGCCTTCTTCTCTTATAAAATATATAGTACTAAACTTAATTACTCTATCTATAATAAAGAGTTCCTTATAATTATTAATATATTTAAGAAATTCTAATACTACCTTCTAGGCAGTAAATACCAAATTAAGATATTTACTGACTATAAAAATATCTTATATTTTACTACAATCTAGCAACTTAATAGATAACAGCTTAGATATACTGAATATCTTTCTAAATTTAACTATATTATCCACTATATTAAAGGAATTAAAAATAGATAAGTAGATACTATTAGTTAATAATCCAACTTTAATACTGGTAAAACTATTACCCGAGAATAACTTCTTATTAAAATACCTAAAGGATACCTTAAGTAGAAGTTTATTATAAAAATAGCCTGAAAGTAAGTCCCCTAAGAACTAATAAAGCTTCTAATAAAACCCAAATAAAGCTTTAAAGACTGAATATATAATACCCACTTCAGACTATAAGAAATTAAGTAGTATAACGGAAAAATTATACCTACTAAATTATAATAGCTATATATAATATCCTACTACTATAAAGGGAATTACTATAGAAACCCCTAGATATTAATAAGGGAGCTTAATTAGTATTTCTATAGAGATATTATAGATATATATATAAGCTATATAGGTATATATAAGAAATACCCCTAATATCTTATTAATAAATATATATATAAATATAAGGAAATATAGCAATATAAAAATTACAAGCTATAATAATTAAGAAGTATTAAAAGTACCCTTATAGTATAACTAAATAACCTGCTATATCAGCAGATCTAGAAGTTTAATAATAAACTACCCCTAGAAGAATAGAATAAGAAGCTTTAAGTACCTAAAGAATTATAGCTATAGCTAGTTAAGAAGGTCTATAAATACCCCTTATATAGATATTAAGAAGTTAATAAAACCTTTAAATAAGTTAGAATAATATACTAATTTCCTAAGATAAAAAGAATAATTAAAGATACTATTAAGTAATATAATTTATATAATAAAACCATAACTTAATATTATAAATTATATAGAGAATTATAGCTCCTACTAGTTATTAAGTAACTATAGAACTTTATTACTATAGATTTTATTATAAAACTACCTCTATCTAGAGATCTAGCTATAGATATATTCTATAATAGTATTCTTATTATTATAGATAGATTTATAAAATTTTCCTATTTTATACTATACTAGGAATTAATAGATACAGAATAGTTTGCCTATATCTTTCTGAGGAATATTATCAGTATATACAGACTCCCCTTAGAAATTCTTTCTAATAGAGAACTACTATTTACTTCTAAGTTTTAGTAAGTATTAATATTATATATAGAATTAAACTACTAACTTACTATAGCTTAGCGCCCTTCAGTAGATAGCTAAATAGAAAGATTAAACTAAATACTAAAATAATATCTTTAATACTATATTAATTATAAATAGAATAACTAAGTTAAAAAGCTTCTAACTGTATAATTAAGCTATAATACCGCAAAATATAAAAGTATAAAGATTACTCTAGCTTATACTAACTTTAGATTTAATACTAATACTTACTGAATTAGTTAAGAAGAATCTATTAATCTAAAAGTAATTCTTATAACTAAATAACTAAAGAACTTATATAAAGAAATAAAAACTGAACTTAAATTTATTAGAAATTAAATAAAAAAATATTATAACCCAAAATAGATAAAGAGACTATTCTTTTCGAAGGGTAATATAGTCTATCTATCTATAAAAAACCTATAAATAAAATAAATAAATAAAAAACTGAACTATAAATATATTAGACTCTTTAAAATTATAGAAAAAATATTAAAAAATAACTACAAACTGAACTTACTACTAAAAGTTAGAATCCACTCTATCTTCTATATCTTACTTCTTAAGATAGTAAAAAATACTATTTAGATTAATACTAATAAGTAGCTTAAGACTGAAGTTAAAAAACTTAAAGAATATAAAGTTAAGAAAATCCTTAATAAAAAATAAATTAATAGATAAATATATTACCTTATTAAATAGAAAAACTACCCTAAGAGTAATAACCAGTAGAAACCAGCTAAAAATCTTATCTATATATAATATCTCCTAAAGGACTTTTAATAATACTACTAAAAGAAAATAAAGTATTAAAATTAATAAAACTCTAGTTAATAATATCGGTATAAACTAGAGACTGAAGGTTAATAGTAGCCTTATATTCTACCTGCTCTAATAACTCTAACTCCTCTAAAGATTTAAGACTATAATAGGTTATCTTATAACCCCTAGTAACTAAAGATTAATACTGGTAATAAGTATATTCCAGAAGATCTAAAGATTAGTTAAATTTAGCCTAAATAGCCTGAAGAGCAGCCTGCTTCTTAAGGAACTCCTCCTCTAGACTTAATTTCTTATTACTAAGGTACTTTACTTTAGAGATAACTTAAGTTACTACTCTTATTTTAGTAAGAAAATATAAAAATAAATTAGAAAAAAGAAAACTTATATAAATTTAGAGGAATATTAATTATATTATAAGGGCAACTCTTATTGGTATAGAAACTATATTTCTTAAAACTACTATTCAGTATCTTATATATATACCTATTAGTAATATATTATAAATAAGATATTACTTTAAAGCTAAACTCCTTAATAGCTATAGCTAGAACCAGTATATTAGCAGTAGAAATAGAAACCTAAAGACCCTTAGTAGAAGCAGCTTAAATTAGTTTACTTACTATTAACTTAAGAATATTATAGAATTTAAAAGGATACTTTAAAATTTAACTGAATATTCTATTAGTATATTAGAATATTTAAAGAAGTAAGTTAGGAATATACTAATAAATATAGAAGAAATAGTCTTAAAGATAGCTATAGGGATATAACTAATAGGGGGGGAGATATTATATTACAGCCCGAATTGGAATTAGGCAGTTATAACCGGCAGAACTATAATATACCCACTTTTTTATATAATACTAAGATCCCAAACTTACTCTATATAAGTAAGCCAGAATGCCCAACTTACTTATCTATAATAAGCTATAAGATCGAACTTACTCTCACCCAGTAAGCCCACCAGCCTAGCTATAATATATAAGTATACTTATTTAGTACTTTTATAGAAGATAGCCTTACTAGTTATTAATATAACTTAGTTATCTAGCTTACTGTACCAGCTATATATTACTAGATATAATACTATTACTCTACTGTATTACTCTATCTATAGTAATTACACTATAACTTATATATAATATTCTAATTCCTACTAGAACCTAAACCCTACGATCTGTACCTACTCTATACTGACAGTTCAGAATAAGTACAGCTGTTACACTAGCTATATTAATTAAATTTATAGCTAAAAGTAAGTTCTTATTATTAAGTTAAAAGGTAATAATATAAGTTTTTCTTTTTATTTAGGTTAAAAGGAGCTTTATATTACTATTAATCTATTTAATTTAAAAAGAAATCTTATTAAAATTCTAAAAATTAAACTTTATAATTATCTTTTTAGTTATAATAGCTTTAAATTCCTTAAATTAATCTTTTAGTCTTGAGATATTAAGCTTAATATCGGTATAAATAATTTTCTTAATCTTTAGAGTCTTATACTATAGCTTTAGATAATACTTTTTAAACTGCTAGATTTATATCTTTAAGACTGCTATTTTAAAACCTTTAATATAGTATTTTTATAGAAAGCTAGTATAGTTATAGATAGTAGGCTCTATAACTGTAAATATACTCTTTTTAATAGTCCGAATAAAAATAACTAAAGCTTATTTCTCTGCTACTATAAGAGCTAGCAGCTAGCTACCTTTCTTACCAGAAGAAAGAGCTTTTCCCGCTTTTAATAACAATATATATTTCTTTACGAGAGATATATTAATATAGTAGTAGGCAGCAATTTTAATATTAGTCCTCTTATAAGAAAGTATAGGGCTCCCTTAAGTCGTCTATATAACTGCCTCACCGGTCAGATAGACGCAGGCCGCACAAGCTGCAGCTTGGCGGGATTTATCTGAAATTTGGGGCATATTGAGACTAATAATAAAATATTATAGGATTGAAATTTCAAAGAGATTAGGCTTAAATTGAAGTAGTTAGCTTATATAGAGTCTGAGGAAGCTGGTTATATATACGACGCGGTTATAAGTAATATTACCCCCTCTCCAAGGGAGAGGGGGGAGCCTTTAGCTTCCAGTGGAGCCTGCGATCACGTAAGCTAAAGTCAGCCCCCCGGGTACCCTTCAGAATCAATTTCCTCCAGCTATTGACATAATGAAGCCAGCCGATCAATTCTAGACACTATGAGAATTGCGTATCCACAGGCGACATATTCGCCCTCATTGTTCACGAATCAGACATCTTGGCCATGAAGGTATGCGCAGAGATTACGGACGTGCTTCGAACGTCTACAACAACCAATACAAGATCTAAAATCATGGAGCATACAGGATTTAGCGTGGGGTATTATCATTCCTCTTATCTTTCCCGGATTCAGTTGAAAGAAGATCATCTCAAAAAATAATTCTGCCTCCTCTTAGTTCTCCACAAGAAATACCACTTACTTCGAACACTTCATCTCGCAACATCGAAATCTTCACTCCGGTTCAATGGCTAATCATAAGTTATTACCCTGGGGCTCAGTGGTTAAGAGCCAGGGACCCTTCTTCAAGAGGTTGTTGGTTTGAATCCAGCCTAGGGTACAATCCTTGTAATTGTGCTGTGACTGATAGCCTCGAGTTGGGAAGCAGCATCAGAGAAGATGGGGTGCATCACAATCCCCTCGCAGTAGTCTAGATTTGTAACAGAACGCTGACTGATTCTTAGGCTGTGTATTTTTCTCCTTTGTAACAGATCGGAGAGTTATGTCCCAGGGCAACGGAATACAAGTGATTACACACCTCGGAAAGGACATCATCCACTGGATGCAAAAAACTGTCTTCCGCGGATGGGTATTACTTCCTGAAATCTCCGTTGTGAGATAACTGGTGGTTTCCGCGATTCACACTGCTCGGTATTGACAGTGAATTCTTTGATTAGAAACTTTATTGAGGTGAGGACATTTCTTTATAGGAGCTTTGTGCCCTTTGCTCATTGAGCTATTAGAACTCCCTGGATGAGCCCAGTTTGATCATACCATGTTAGTGAAACGAATTCAACTGGGTAAGAAGACTTCGCTTGAATGTGTAATTTACATCATTACGTTTCCAAACTCTCAATATTCTGCCGTACCAGCCGTACTTGGGTTTAACAGAGGTATTATATACAATTAAAATAGACCTTCAGTCTTAAAGTTAGAATTATTCCACTATTAAAACGCTTTCCAGATATTTATCGAATATTTTCCCAGTTACATTAATTATAAGCAGGATGGGGTTCACTTACAGAATGATATCCGTCTTGAATTCTGCAAGACCCCCCTCCCACCCACAGTCGCATCACTGAGGAAGCTATTCAGCCTGGAAATGTTTCTCAAGGGCCATTTCGCAATATCTGTTACGTTTCCACCTAATACTCCATGGTTAATCGTTTGACAGTATGGCGAGCACCCAATCATCCTTCGGCAACTTAACGGTAGTAACTTGCAAAATCTTGCTGCCCGGCGCGCACCTCAATAAGTCAGCTCCAGTCGAAGAGATCAGCACACACCTAGACAAGCCAACTTTGTGAGGACATCAGTACGCGCTTCGACGAGTCAACTCCAGCTTGAGGGGAGAGATGTAAGTTAGCTACCACAAGTGAGCTGGCCACCCCTTTTATCCCTTTAGTCTAGATACCTCGAACCATGACTGATGGTCTCGCACTGCAGGAAATCCGGCCGCCATTAAAGCAAGACACACATACTAGGTAAAAGACCTGTAGGAGATAGATAACAATATGCGCGACCAACTTCGGCGTCTTCGAGTTGGACAACTTGTATTGTCGGGGGAATTGTGGTGCTATCATTCCAGGAATGGGTGGGCATAAAAGCTTCAGTTCAAGCTATAAGAAGCGGAGGCACGGCGTAACTTGAAACTGCGGCCGAGGTTGGAGATGCTAGTAGGGTGTGCAATTGCCTCTTGAGAAAGGTACCAATAGTTATCCGCAATAAATCTGGATAGCTTGGCGCCCTCTGGGTATTAATCCTGCACGCCGCGTCAGTGTATTTCCAAACCAAACTTCATTGATAGCGTGAAGCCGGAAGGATAATTCGCCCCTCCAGAACCCATTGGAGTACCCTTTTCGAGAGCGCATCAAGCCATCATTCTTCTTTGCAAACGGCAGACAGCCGCTGCATAATCGCGGTGAAGGGGCGCCAGAGGAAAAGAGTTATGCAGTTCCAATGAAGTCTGGGGATGATGTATCCTTAACTGATGTGCTATTTTATATCCGCTAACAGTGAAAGGACACACGTTCGTATGCAACCACCATATCACCGTCAACGTCCTACATCAATGGCCATGCTGTGTTCAGGGTGTATGCGTGGAGGCCAGAGAGTTCGAAACCAGGCGCAATCGATCTGCAAGGCGGTAGGAAGGTTCGGAGAAAGTACTTTGTAGGCGTTCCCTGGTGAGCCAATGCTTTCCATGCTATGTTGCCAGGTACAACGCCAAAAGACGTTCGAGGAAAACAGGACGCTATAGAGCGATATCCAGACTCGTTTCTTCGCCATCAAGCACTTTAGGACCTGATCAAGCCCCAACGACGCGGAAGTTCGGGACAACTGCGTCTTAACCGCTGAATCCATACTGCAAATTGCACACCTTTCTTGGTTGATTGGCCGATTTTTCGTGTACCTGAGTCCGGGTATGTCCTTCGTGCTGAGCCGGCCTGGATCCCACACACACTACCGGTGACCTACATAGTCGAGGACCGGAATCTGCCGTCGCTGGTCGTGGTAATGTCCATGCAGATGAAAAAGAAAACACCAAGAAAATGGATCTTAAGATCATAAAGAGTAAAAAGAAAACACCAAACGTAATTGCTTATTCTTTCTTACCTCTAGCTTTACTTAATGTCAGCAGATAGATCGAAGAGATATAGTAGTTGCAAACAATTTGCGAATACATAGAGCATCACATCGCTTCTGTTTACCCACCCCGATGTCCCGGTTCAAAGAGACAGATTACAGAACATCTAATCGTAGTTTTATACTGAAATCAGCTGGCCTAATCGTTAGTTTTCCTGTCCCACAGCCTCAATCACCCGAAGACAACGCATTTTCATCTCGTGCATGACGTAACTCTACCGTCGGTCGATCAACACCTTGTTCCTAATGTTCCTAAGGTTAATAATAATAAAAAGGAAGCTCTTAGGATATGACCAGAGATTTAACAACTGTCTCAGATCTTCAATTCTTCCCAACCACACTTGAAGAGACGTTGGACGATTGGCAAAGTTCAGACTTCACGATGACAAGCCTCCGGTCTCTGGAGTCCAGGCTAAGGGGGCATCCACTCTAAAAATCGGAACCACGACCAAAAAAACATACAACAGTGAGGATTCCCCGGTCGTCACCGACCCGAGTACTAATTCGCCGCTTCTCAGCTTGACTAAGGGAGAGCGGACGGGATCCCGTATTTTCTAAGAGCTATGGTCGTATGTATCAGGAGTTGTCCAGAACTGAGATTATGACAGCAACGAGGTTGTGCCGGAATACCGGTGCAGTCAGAAGAGGGGAGAGTAGTGCTGGCGTATTTTCGGACCTATTAGTATGATACAATGCGGTTTAGAAGTCGACTCATCTGGTCAGAGTGACCCTCCATCGTCATTCCTGCTTGGGCGGCCGACGTCAGAACCTTGTCAGGCTTATCACCCCTACATTTTGGATCACCATCTTCTCCCTTTTCCCGAGCGAGCCACACTCTTAAATTCCGAACACCTATGGACAGAAAATTTCTTATTCAGGTTTAAGGTGTGACTATGGTTGTTCTTAATCAGGGGCTCGCGGCACCGAACCAGCCAGCTTCTCCAATTCCCTCCTTCGTTCCACCAGGCCTCTGCGCATTAGAAGCCCAATTGTCCTCCACTGCTGCTGAAAGGTCGTGCATAAGATTGTCCTGTTCTTACACTTTCTTCCTCCCGTCTTCTAGCCCCCACGTAGTACTGGAAGTGGCTGACATGCTGCAGTGCCGTCACCATATTGGGGGCCTAAGCAGCCTCGTCCATTACAGCTGACGACACCTTCCTCGGCGGAGTATTCCAGTACTTCAATACCTATCCCCTCGCAGACGAATGAAGGTTCATAAACACAACTATACTAAATATCCAAACCCTCAGTAACTCCTTAGTAATCCCTTAAAGTCCATCCCGATCAACCATCCCACTCATTGCAACTCAACAGGCGTGCCTGGGCGCCCAGCATTATCATCGGGCAACTCAGTAGGAGGGCGCGGTGAAACCTCGAGCTTCGCTGGCGAATATTGAGCTACGAGTGTTCCATCTTGGTAGATGCGATGGTCGCCGCCCGGTGGAGGGTTTCCCTGTGCCACTGGGTAATAGCCCGGTGGTGAAAACTGGGGCTGACCATGGTATTGCACCGGGTTATGGTTCGCCTGCACTGTCTGTGCTATTTGTGCTATTTGTGCTGCCTCTCTCTCGGCACTAGCAGCGGCTTGTCGCTTCTGGAAACGAACGAACCAAAAGCCAAATCCCAAGAAGGCGATTAATGCTAGTCCGGCAATGACGCCGCCGACGATGGCTCCGACTGGAGTATCGGAGCCAGAATCGGAATCCGACTCTTCGGTCTGAAAGGATCCTCCACCGGTCCCGCTTGGGTGGGTAGATAGAGTCGTCTCCCAATCGACTGTCGTCGTGATCCCGCTTTTCGTCATTATGCTCGTGTGGTTCTCGACCGGCATGTCGTAGACAAGCAACTCTCCTGTAGAAAAGCCCGTTCCACAGTTGTAGGCTGTGAGGTCATCTTCGTCATCCTTAGTCTTGATGCCGGTTACACACTCTGGGAATTCGTCACCAATACTGTGTAGTTGGTAGGTTACGTTAGCTACTACTCCAAAGAGTCGAAGGAATAAGGTCGCATACCAACACATAATCCGAGGATCTAGCGCAGGGCCCGACGTACAAGCCGTGTGAGTCTTCTCGTAGCATGTGGTGTATATGGTCTGTAGGCATCCGAAGTGTGTACCAATTGTTCTACAACTGTTTCCAGCACCACAGACCCAAGGATCCCAGCCATCTAGGAGTTTAGTGATTCCCGTCAGCCAGCCATTCCTCTAGCCTCCCTTCAAGGCGAAGCGCGTAGAAGAAAGCAAGGTGATTACCTGTTCCCGGCAGTGTGTAGTAACCGCATGTTTCGTTCAAGTTTTGGCGAACGGCGAGCCCATTATGTGGTCCGTCTTCGAAATTCGGGGCAATCGGTGGTGCGGTCGTGTGCGCAGCTTTCGGTTCTTCGTGTGCTGCCCTTGCCACGACTGTTTGTCGGGGGATTTGATGCATGACGATGTGCGGTAATGTAATAAATTTGAAAGAAGATCGAGGATTCGATGAGGTGGTCGTCGCTGGGGAGAAGATGCTAGTATTGGAGCCTCGCTGACGGCGAGCGCACGTACCGTATGCCCAAGGGAAATGCAAAAGATGGATTCAGCGGGCCTTTGCCTTTATAAGAAGACAAATGCCGTAGGTCAATCAAACGGAATCCCTGAGAGGGTGTCTTTTGATACCAGCTGAGCCACAAGAGATTAGGGCTGCACAGGATTGGCACTGC